TTGAGAACACACGCTGGACTAGTATGGGTTGAGTCTCATCTCTCGACCCAGCACCCTGCCTGGGGCTGCTGCTTCTGCCCCTGGAGCAGATTTCGCCCCAGCACTGTCACTGGAAGACATCCTTGCCTCTCCTGCCATCTGCTGACCACCTGGGTCACCGGGGTTTCCTGTGTATTAGGCAGCGGTCCACCTGGGGCTCTTTCCGACTGGATCCTCCAGCTCTCTGCCCCACTCCCCACTCCAATGCCTGCTCCTTTAATATTCTCCTTTCCTCTTCTTTAATATTTTTTCATATCATCATCTATAATATCTGATATAGAATGGCCACACCAGCTCATTTCTCCTTTCTATTGGCCTGGAATATCTTTTTCCACACTTTTCTTTTTCCACTTTGACTTTGTTTCCACTGATCTTCGTTGGTGGGATGTGTCTCCTGTAGGCAACAGATAGATGAGTTTTTGATCCAGTTTGCTAATCTTTGATGTCTGATTAATGTGTTTAATCCATTCACATTCATGGTCAATATGAATCGGTGGTAATCCCCTCCTGTCATTTCAGCAACAGTTGTTCATTCTAAGTCTCTTTTGTTGTTTTACTGGAATGTTCTCCACATTTGCCTTTGGTTTTGCCAGTCACTATTCCTTTGTGCTGACGAAAGAACATCTTTCAGTATTATTTGTAGGGAAGGTCTGGAAGAAGCAAGTTCTTTGAGCTTTTATATACTGTGGAAGACTTTTATTTCATTTTCAAAGGAAAGCTTTGGGCCCGGCAGCATAGCCTAGCGGCTAAAGTTCTTGCCTTGAACACCCCAGGATCCCATATGGGCGCTGGTTCTAATCCCGGCAGCTCCGCTTCCCATCCAGCTCCCTGCTTTTGGCCTGGGAAAGCCACAAGCCTCTCTGTCTCTCCTTCTGACTTTGTAATAAAAATAAATAAACCTTAAAAAAAAAAAAAAAAAAAAAAGCTCTGCTGGGTAAATATTCTGGGTTGACAATTTTTTTCCCTTCATAATCTAGAATATGCCACTCCATTCTCTTCTGGCCTGTGTGGCTTCCTCTGAGAGGCCAGCTTGGATCTGATTGGAGGTCCTCCTATATGTTAATTTATTCTTGTCTTTTTCACATGTGATTAAGGATCTTTTCCTTATGTTTGATTGACGAGAGCTTGATTACCACATGTCGTAAACATCCCCATTCTCATTTATTATTTCATTGACTACATCTTTTTTTTTTGTATCAGTGTCTCGATGTTTATTGACTTGGGTAAGTGTTGGCATTTTACAGTCCAGAATTAAAATAATAGAATTTTTGAACTAGACACGGCTCTGAGATCATCCTATTGCTGGCTTATCTCTCTTTCCGAGCCCTGCATTCCTGGAAATTGCTTTTATTCTGTTGAGTCTTGAGTTGTCCCTTCCTATACTATTTAGTCAGTTCTGTCTCTCAAATCTTGATACTATGGACACAAGTTCAAATGAATAATTACTTTAAAAGGTTTTTTACTTGAAAGGCAGAGCCACACAGCGGGTGGAGGAAAATCTTCCATCTGCTCCTTTGATTTCTAAGTGGCTGTAACACATTGACTACATCTTTAAACCCAGTTTTTTTTTCTGTACTTTCTAGAACTTCCATGACTCTTACACTTGCCCCTTTAATGTCTCTTAACTCCTGAATAATTTTCATAGATTGACTCTATCCCTCTCCCATCTTTTTTATTTTCCCCCATTGTAGAAGGAAATGTCTTCCTGTTCTGAGATTTTTTTCCTTCTGCCTCATTATTTCTATTGTTGAGGCTTTCTGTTGAATTTTTCATTTTCTCCATTGTATGCTTGTTTCAGTGTTGTTTCCTGTGTGACACATTCCTTAAATTTCTTGAAGTGCTGGGCCCAGCGTGGTAGCGCAGTGGTTAAGGTCCTTGCCTTGCACCCCCGGGATCCTATATGGGCGCCGGTTCTATCCCGGCAGCTCCACTTCCCATCCTGCTCCCTGCTTGTGGCCCAGGAAAGCAGTCGAGGACGGCCCAAAGCTCTGGGACCCTGCACCCGCATGGGAGACCCAGAAGAGGCTCCTGGCTTCGGATTGGCATAGTATCGGCTGTTGCGCTCACTTGGGGAGTGAATCATCGGACGGAAGATCTTCCTCTCTGTCTCTCCTCTCTGTATATCTGCCTTTCCAATAAACAAAAATAATAAAAATAAATCTTTAAAAAAATTTTCTTGAAGTGCTATATGTGCTTTATAACAAGTTTTTTAATTTCTTTATCCCCAATTTTCTGTCTTCTTCAGTTAACTGTAAGTCCATAAAGGCTTTTGCCCCTTTGCAGGAGAAGCATCAATATTCCCTGTGCCCCTGTCTGTTTCTCTTGGTCACTGCATTCCTGGTTAGCAAATTCAACTTAGGGCAGGTTTCTAAGCTGTGTTACCCACACTTCTACAGGTTGATTTGATTGCATTTGGTACCCAATTCTTTGTTTGCCATACTTGTGCCATCCCCCCAGCGAGTTTCAGTCCCGAGCTCTTGTGCTAAGCTTCTACCATGGTCTCTGTAGCCCCAGTTCCTAGCTCACCACTTTCCCCCCGCCTGGGATCCTGTGCTGTGGCCGCACCAATGCCTGCACAGCCTTTCTCTCACTCCTGGTTTGAGCAGTGTCCAGCATTAGGAAGACATCAGGTGTCCTAAATCAACTGTGCAGAACTTGCTGGCTATCAGGTCTACGGACCACCTGTACCTATTTTTGGTGGGACCCGAAGGATGGCAGAGTCTCTACTATTTTCCCCGGGGGACCAGTGCAATGCACTGAGCTAGAAATGAGTTCTCTCCCAGCTCAGTGCATGCACAGCTCATTGTTGTTCCTCCACAGCTTTTGCCACAAAATGTCAAAATGGCGCCCAACGTAGCACTGCTAGGGGTCTGGGCCTGCCGGTCCTTACGTCTGGGGGCCACCTGGACCTATATCGGGTGGGACTTGTAGGATGCCAAGTCAGGCTGTTTTCCCTGTGGGACCAGTACAATGTGTCAAGCAGGAAATGAGCTTGCTCCTGGCTTAGTGCAAGCATAGCTACCTGTTGCTCCTCCAGCCCACAGCCTTCTCCTCAGTACCCAAAATTGCAGCCAACGAGGCACGGGTAAGCGGTCTGAGCCGTGAATACACCCTGTTTCTGCACCCACCTGCTTGGGCTCTGCCATTCTGCTTCGGCTTGTACTTGAATCAAGGAAACCAGCAGGACGGACAGTTCATACCCGAGTTCACCTCCTGAGCTCCTGGTGAACCCCTCTCCCCACCCAGCCTCTGGGGGAGCTCCAATCACTGATCACCAACCACCACTGGGGTATCTGGTCACTATAAAATCGCTCCACTGCTTCTGCTGCTTCCCCATGTCCAAAGGTCTCCAGGTGTCCCTCAGGCATCGGCCTGGCCTCCATTTCCCAGGATCACAGCCTATCTGCTTTGCCCTAATGATTCTTTGTTTAAACAGGTACTTACCCTAATGTCAGCCAATGGACCTTAATGGAGACCCTAAGCCTTGGAGGAATGCAATCAACAGCACCTCAGGACTATCAAACCACATAAGCAGTATCCTGGGAACATGCTCCACATTAGGGACCCTGGGATGGCTTTAAGTGGTCTACCCCCATTTCTGAGCACTGACGTGACTGGGTTCCTGGGACTGGCCCTCTCCCCTGCTCTCCACTTTCCCCACATACAAGAAAAAAAAGGTTTGGAAACAGCAGTCTCATCCACTTTCTCCCATTCCTCTACCCTCCCACGGACATGCATCTCTCTCAACTATATAATCAAAAATAATATGATTTTATTATTTTTAAAAACTGAAAGAAAAAAGTGTCCTTACCCTATTCTGTCATCATGTTTCTCTGGTGATGTTTAATACTACACAGCCCTGAATAATCGTCAGGGGGTGATATTTAATATAAACTGTCCTGGATCATCACCAGAGGGTGATATTTAATACTACAGTCACCAGAGGGCGCTGTTTCTCCGGTGATGTTTACTAGTACACAGTCCTGAATAATCACCACGTTTTTCTGTTTTTGTTTTTTTTTCTTTTAGCTTTTTAATATATTCTTGTTTTGAATTTTAAATTACGTGGTACAATTCTGTATAGGCTGGGATTCCCCCCGAGACTCCCACCCGCTGTCCGGAGGGCGATGTTTAATACTAAGCGGCCCTGGATCATCACCAGAGGGCAATGATTAACAGCACTCGGCCCTTGGACAGCTGCCACATGTTCACAGAGCAGGCGTTCCTCTGTCCAAACAGCTCTAGTCCATCAAAGACTTGCAGGGCAAGAGGGCAAAGCAGCAGCCATGGTCCTTCCTGCCCACGCACACTTGGCCACAGAACGAGACGCGGCCATCGCCACGGGCCCACACTCGCTGAACCACTGGCACTTTTACCTGCCCCAAACGGTTTCACTACTATATCAGGAGAAGGGAGGCTGTTTATTCTACTGAACTAAAAATCACAGCGAACACTAAGAGTATCCACATCGTTTCAGCCTCAGGCTAAGTTCTGTGGTAACGAGGCTCATAAAGACCTTAGTCCAGGTGAAGACACCACGCAGCCCCTAACTTCTGAGTCCTCTACTGTCAAACCACGCCAGTGGCAACCTGTGTTTCAACAGAGGCCTGCACACTCTGCCAAAGCTCCCCTTCTGTGCTAAGTTCCCTTAAGCATCGCTGATAACCATGACTAAGTCGAAGGCAGATCAAATATCTCCAAGAACGCCACTGTGAGGTGCACGCCCCAACTCACCCCTACCTTCTCTGAACTTCCTCTTCTCACAGATGAGAAGGAACTCTGATTACGAAAGCTATAGCCAAGGCTTTCCAACACACAAACAGAGCCTGCACTGTGGACGGGGTGCCCCTGGCCAGTGTCAGCTCTGCGCAGTGTGTGCCTGTCAACCCTGGTCGTCTTTAGCCTCAAAAGCCAGTCAGAATGGATTCTCTTCAAAGACTTCTCACAGCAGCACACTAAGGTACAAAAGGACCAAAAGAATGTTTATTGCTTTACAAGAAGCCAGCAACACACACAAATAATTACAAACAAGACACTTCTAAATTCTCCGATGGAATTACCAAACTAAAATGTGCTTCCCCTGCACCGTTCCCACAGCCCGAGCCCGTCACCGTCTGGGCTTTCCTGCTCCACCCGCGAGGTGCATCGCTGCACTTTAAGTGACTGCCCGAGGCACCTTTCAAAACCTAGCAACTCTCCTGGGAAAGCGCCGTCTAGAAAACCGTTCTGAAATCCAACCGACAGTGACTCTCCCTCTCGTCCTGATGTGGCCAACACACACACGGGTAATGCCCACGACTCGACTCTACAGACCCCAGGGCTCAGCAGTGCTGAAGTGACTCTTCCTGGCACCTGCACCTTCCCTGGAGCGTCAAGGCACCATGGTCACCCACTCAGCAGCACGTTACCTGGCAAGCCCGAGTGGGGAAGGATGGCAGAGCCTAGCCAATCTGCAAATACCCAACTCAACTGTCAGAGGGCCTTCAACACACACAACTCCTTGCCCTAAAAATGAACATTGCCCAACCAAGCTTTTATTTGGGACGCAAGGTCTTGCCTCTGCCAAAGCACAGCACTGTTAGAGAACATGCTGGCTGGGGTAGTGCTAATGCCCAGGCCAGTCCAGCTGGCCACCAGGACAAAGGTTGCCCATCTAGGACAGTATCACACCGGGTGCTAGCTCAAGACGTGTGTGATAACGGTTCTCCATGGCTGCCATGTTAAGGCAGAATCAGACACAGAACTGTTCTCCGGCGTTAGGCCCTCCTCCCACCTGGCAGAGCCAAACGGCAGCACAGTACTAAGCCCCAACGCAAGCACTGTGCAACAGAACCTGTTCAGCCGGACTTCGCAGCTTTGCTGATGGCGGTTTAGAACTCGGGGCTGCACCCCCTTAACAAGAACAGGCTTAACAGAAGGTAGGACGTTTTCCTTCCTTGGCAACCATTCTCTTTAATTATCTGTATACTGGTGTGGATGGCTAATTTGGATAAAGAAAACATGAAGCATCGTATCTGGAAGAATCACAAACAAAACAGACTTCTCACAGTCGGGTATGCAGGAAAACAACTTTACCAAGAGACTGACACTGACACTCTGTGACAGAACTAAAATACACGGAGCAACAGAGCAGACCCACTGAAATAACAGACTGTCCGTGTGTGTGCACTGACGCCACACCACAGCCGGCTAAGAATATAAAGCGCAGTGTTGAGCAACTGGGCATCCTAGCTACCCTAAGAGGCACTCTGCTCACCGCTCCCCGGGCACCGTGAGGTCAGCAAGGCCAGGAGCAGGGAGGCAGGGGCAGGGGCCTCCTACTTCTCTGCACCAGCCGCCGTCTCCTTATTAAAGCCCCGGATGGACAGGTCATAGACCACCTCCTCCACCTTCTTCACGTCGTACTTGAGGCCGTCATAGCGCTTCCTCAGCGAGTCATTCTTCAGGTTGAGAAGGCGGAATCCGGAATCCAGCTCGTTGATGAAGGTGGAGATGTGAAGGGGCCTGGAGTAGTCTCCCGCAGTCACGCTGTTGACTGACAGCCTCGACTGCAGAGAGAGAACAGGACGTTACTGGGGGCTCCCGCGTGGCAGGCAACCTGCGAGTCACAACTGAAAGCGGGTGTTACTCAGGGGGCGCTTGCGTGGCACATGTCCTGCGAGTGACAACAGAACAAGGACGTTACTGGGGGGTCCTGCGGGGCACGCATCCTGTGAGCGACAAGCCGACGACCACAGGCCCAGAGCTGTGCCCCTGTGGCTCCATGTCCGGGTCTGGACAAGCACAAACAGGAGATCCTGTTTTCATGAGGTAATGTCTCTCCCGACAAAGGCCCAACATGATTAACGGTTCCCACAATTTCTCTAGCTCCCCAGACGACCGTCGGCAGCTCTGCTGCCCTAAAGCTGGGCCTGACGGTCCGACTGCGGGAGCCCAGCTCGTGAGTTAGGACACCAGGCGTGTGACATCAGAACGACAAGGAGGAACACGCATCTGACATCAAGTCAGCGCAAGAATCCCTTCCCTCCCCATAAAGCCCTGCTGCTCTTCCGGGCTTCCGGGCAAGGCCTGTCCAGTGCAATCTCAGCACTCAACTTAACTACTAACCCTGGGGGTGCCTCACTCACGGCTCCAGCCCCCCCCCCCCACTTCCGCCTCTCCCACGGAGCAAGCACTGACACTGCAAGCAGAAGCTGTCTGCACGCTGCAAAGTGAGGTCCTTCGCAGAAGGGACCCCCCTTGCCCTCCCTCTCCCTCTCCAGCTGGCTGGAATAAAGGTGTGAAGGCCAGCACACCTCAGGAAAAGCTGAGAAACTTCAGGACCCAGGGTCCGAGACCTAAGTATCACTACCCTGCTGGCAAGACAGCCAATCTTTTGAAAGATTTTTACTTATTTTACTTGTATGAAATCTGAGTTAGAGAGTAAGAGACAAGAGAGAGCTTGTCTCCCGGTTCACTCCCAAAATGGCCACAAGAGCCGGGGTTGGCCAGTCTGAAGACAGGAACTTCACCCAAGCAGTTGGCCCATCAGCACAGGCTAGGGCCAGCACGGTGGCCTTACAGGCTAAGGCTCAGCCTGCATTACAGGCAGCCCATCAGGGTGCCCCAGGGGCTCCACTTCTGATCCAGCTCTGTGCTTGTATCCCAAAGCACAGAGAATGGCCAAATCCTTGGGACCCCGCACTCGCATGGGAGACCTGCAAGAAGCTCCTGGCTCCTGGCTTCAGGTCGACTCAGCTCTGGCTATTGCAGCCATCTGGGGAGTGATCCAGTGGGCAGAAAATCTTTGCCTCGCTCTGTAAATCTTCACACTCCAATGAAAATAAATCTTTAAAAAAAGGGAGGGGGGCCGGTGCAATAACATAGCAGTTAAAGTCCTCGCCTTGAATGCACCAGGATTCCATGGGTGCCGGTTCTAATCCCAGAAGCCCAGCTTCCCATCCAGCTCCCTGACTGGCCTGGGAAAGCAAAAGAGGACGGTCCAAAGCTCCTGGTTCCTGGCTTCGGACTGGCTCAGCTCTGGCCGTTACAGTCACTTGGGGAATGAATCATCGGACGGAAGATCTTTCTGTCTCTCCTCCTCTCTGTACAGCTGACAAATTTTAACAAAAGAAAAAGAAGGGCTGATTTCCCCAGGCCATGGCAGGAAGCTGGATAAGTGCAGCAGCCAGCACTCGAAGCAGCACCCAGGTGGGGTTTTGGCTTCACTGGTGCCAGCTCTCAAGTAGCAGGGATTTTCACCTCTGTGAGTTACACAGCCTCTGGCACATTCAGCTCACCTAGACACAGCTTTTTAAAAGTACTTTTATGTATGGACCTTTTTTCTTTAAAAAAATTTTTTTTTATTGGAAAATCATATTTAGAGAGAAGGAAAGACAGAAAGATCTTTCGTCCGACAGTTCACTCCCCAGGAGGCAGCAACAGCTGGACCTGAGCCGATCCAGAGCCAGCAGCTCTTCCAAGTCTCCCACGCAGGTGCAGGTCCCGGGGCCTTGGCCATCCTCTACTGCTTCCCAGCCCCACAAGCATCGATTTGGATGGGAAGTGGGGCAGCCAGGAGACGAACCAGTGCCGATATGGGATCCTGGAGCGTGCAAGGTGAGGACTTTAGCCACTAGGCTACTGTACCAGGTCCCCTTTATAAGACAATTTCCCAAGAATATGAGAACAAAGGACAATTTTCACTCATACAGGCCAATTGTCTTCCAAATGCAGGACTCAACAGTTGCCAGGAGCATTACATGGCTAAGATTCTAAAAAGCAATGATCATTTTTGAAAACACCGACCTGAGCAAATACACAGAGCTAGCTCCTGGTTCTGAGCTGGCATTGCTCCCAGCCAGCTGAAACGCACTCTGTTCACAGTCAGTGACCACCTGCAGACCAGCACATGTGTGACTACAGAACAAACATTTCCTGGATTTGGACCCTCGTCAAACACTGACAGTGAAGCCCAAGGGTGAAGCAGGAGGGGCCAGTTGCTGAGCTTCTTACCAGTTCACTGGCGAGAATGAGAACTCCTGAGAGATAGTCCTCCACGTCCAGGTGAAAGCCCTTCTCCCGGTCTGGCTCAACTGCAAAGGAAACCCGATGAGGTCAGAGCAGGACTCAGCCGGCCCGAGCACATGAAGACAGAGGTGCGAAGCTCCTCACGGGAAGCGCGCTAAGGAGGCCCTTCCGCCGCGACTTCACCACACGGGTCTGGAACTCCAACAAAAACCGCACGTTCCTGCCAGGCTTCTCTCATAGTAATACTCTCAAGAACGGCACCCAGCCATGTCCACGCAGATCCTCTCTGCAGGAAGACGCAGGCTGAAGCTGTGAGCCACAGCTGACTGCACGCGCACACACACACACACACACGCTCAAGCTGTGAGCCTCACGTCACACCATCCACAGCTGACTGCACACACACACACACACACACGCTGAAGCTGTGAGCCTCACGTCACACCATCCACAGCTGACTGCACACACACACACACACACACGCTGAAGCTGTGAGCCTCACGTCACACCATCCACAGCTGACTGCACACACACACACACACACACGCTGAAGCTGTGAGCCTCACGTCACACCATCCACAGCTGACTGCACACACACACACACACACACGCTGAAGCTGTGAGCCTCACGTCACACCATCCACAGCTGACTGCACGCGCACACACACACACACACACGCTCAAGCTGTGAGCCTCACGTCACACCATCCACAGCTGACTGCACACACACACACACACACGCTGAAGCTGTGAGCCACAGCTGACTGCACGCGCACACACACACACACACGCTCAAGCTGTGAGCCTCACGTCACACCATCCACAGCTGACTGCACACACACACACACGCTCAAGCTGTGAGCCACAGCTGACTGCACACACACACACACACGCTCAAGCTGTGAGCCTCACGTCACACCATCCACAGCTGACTGCACACGCACACACACACACACACACACACACGCTGAAGCTATGAGCCTCATGTCACACCATCCACAGCTGACTGCACACGCACACACACACACACACACACACACGCTGAAGCTATGAGCCTCACGTCACACCATCCACAGCTGACTGCACACGCACACACACACACATGCTGAAGCTGTGAGCCTCACGTCACACCATCCACAGCTGACTGCACACGCACACACACACACGCTGAAGCTATGAGCCTCACGTCACACCATCCACAGCTGACTGCACACACACACACACGCTCAAGCTGTGAGCCACAGCTGACTGCACGCGCACACACACACACACACGCTCAAGCTGTGAGCCTCACGTCACACCATCCACAGCTGACTGCACACGCACACGCACACACACACACACACACACACACGCTCAAGCTGTGAGCCTCACGTCACACCATCCACAGCTGACTGCACACACACACACACACACACACACACACACACACACACACGCTCAAGCTGTGAGCCTCACGTCACACCATCCACAGCTGACTGATAAGGCGGCCTGCCTCCCACACCCTCCTCTCTACATACACACACAGACACAGACAGCTTGAGGAGCTCATTTTTCTGCAGGCCTGAGGTCTTTTTAAATATAAAAACGTAATATCCAACAGAAACAAGCCACTGCCTGGTTTTAGTTTTCTTTCCAAGTCACTGGCTTTCTACGCAGTAGGTCTCATGTGTGCACACGATGGTTTCTCCTACCAGAAGCTTCTGCAGTCCCAGCAGGGAGGCCACTTACTGCCCAGAATCTCTGTCACGGCTTCCCGGGTCACCAGCGTCTCTGTCTCCAGATACACCACGAACGCCGCCAGGAAGACCAGGCGCTGCAGCACAAACCTCCAGTGCTCGTGGAATCTGCAAAGGGCAGGAGCGGAGGTCAGGAGAGGGGCTTCCGAAGGTCGGGGCTGTCCAGCAGGGTGGCAGCCGTGGTTGGGGGCGTGGAAGGGGCTGGCACGCTGGCAGCTGAGGTTGAGGGGAGGGGCTTCCAAAGGTCGGGGCTGTCCAGCAGGGTGGCAACAGTAGGCCCTTCCACAAATCACATCTTAGGTGAGACCCCAATATATAAACGTTCCAATGCATCAGGCTGAGCCCTCAGGTGCAAGGCTATTACATGCACCTCTAAGCTACAGCAGTGTAGAGCACAATCCACTTCTGAAGAATACAAAACTGCCAGTTCAAGATTATGGAGGACAAAGACAATTAGCTCTGCAAGGTGAACCGCTAAGAAGCACAATGCTTGAAAAAAATTCTTTAAAATTTGAAAATGAAGATTAATGACAATGCCAGCTCTTTATCAGCCTCAACATCTAACTTATGCCTACATTTTGACTTGCATACAAGGCATGAGAAAATTCTAAGTCACAAAATGACACAAAATGTGCAAATCCTAAACAGATGGCCTTAAGAGCTGGGGCTGGCAGGCTGGCAGGTGACGGAGGCCTGAAAACCGCCGCACGCTGAGCCGCGCCTCCTCATGTCCACTGCCGCAATGAACCCAGGAATAGGACCAAAGCAAGAAAAAGCGGAGCTCCACGGAGGACAGCTGGCCCGAGCCAGCCGAGGTGGCCTGGACACGCGTCCTGTGACTCCGTGCAGGGGCCCTGCCCGCTGCCACCCACGGTCCTCACGCACACTGAGCTGGGCTTTCCTCTCAATAACAAACATCTGTTTTGTTCGAGGGCCCACGACAGTGTTTAATCTTACCAACCTGTAATACTGCCCGGCAGGGAACTTGGTCTTCAGCGACGTGAGATGTGTTTTCACTGTACTGAAATGTTCTCGTGCCTTCAAACACCTCTTTGGAACTGATCAAAAAGATAACCATACATATAATGAAAACCTCAGCAAATTTCAATGTAGTTCTCATTGATCGAGGCAGGCCACTGGAAGTAACAATTTTAGTTTCACAACCGAATGTTCACAAGTACACATCTCCTGCTCTTCTTCCTGGCCCTCACTGATGACACTGAAAAGTAAACAAAACCCAGCTAACGTATGCTACACCTGACCCTGAGGACGGCTACCGTCACCGGCCCCAGGAGCCTGCACTACGCTCCCGGGTCAACTGCCGTCCCTCCGCCAGCAGGACACCCGCTCTGAGAATGCTTCTGCTCTTCCAGGACTGGGCTGCACGCACAGCGCAGGTACCACACCCACCCGGCACACCTGCCCTCCACTGCAGGGGCAGCTGGCATGCTCTACACTGGCAGCCTACACCGACAAACGCAGAGGCAAGGCCAGGTAGGAGCAGGCACAAAGCCCCATGCTGGGATGCCTCCTGGCACACTGCAGTGTCTGGGCTGAAGTCCACGTTCTAGCTCTGACTCCAGCTTCCTGCTGAAACTCACCCTGGCAGGCAGCAGTGACAGCCAGCCACTATGCAGGAGATCCAGACTGCTCCAGCCACAGCCTCAGCCACTGCCACTGCCACAGCTATGGCTACGGCTACAGCCACGGCCACAGCCTCAGCTCCAGCCACAGCTACGGCTATGGCCACTGCAGGCATAGAGAGACTAAGAAGCACATGGGAATTGCCTTGCACACTCAAATTAAAAAAAGATAAAAAGAGTACTCACACACTGAAAGTTGCTTCATACCCGAGTCATTAAACTAATCACTGTCAGAATTTCATCAGTGAGGCACGCCCCTTTATACCACACCATACAGAAACAGAAAACTAACTCAAAGTCAAAAATGTCAAACCTACAGTGTGAGCAAACCACACACCTTCCCATTCTGACTCTCATAAACCCTGACAGCCAAGACGCCTAATAACGCAGAGCAGACCTGCCATGCCCTCTGAGCAGGAAGAGAGCTGACGCCGGGGAGCAAAGAACTTACTGTCCTGGAAGCCGGAGCCCTGATGGACGCCCTGCAGCAGCGTGAGGATCTCCCGGGCGGTCTGCTCCAAGTTCTGCACCACCTTCCGGATCTCCTGGACAGTCACAGATGAACACGGTTACCACCACAGACACAACCCAGGCACACCAGCCACACTGCGCTGGACTCCTCAGGTGCTCCAGGGCCCGGGGGGCCGTCCGAGACCGGTGAGCAGGTTATGTGCACACACCCACCCCGGGCTATGCAGTCCCTGCGAGGAGCCAGGCAGTTGCTGTCCCTGACCGATGGGTATTTACCAAGCGCCTTCGGGCCTCAAGCACGGGGTTATGCAGAGGAAGGGAGTCCTGCTATTCCAACCATAACAGGAACAGGCTCCTCTAGACTGTGAGATCTGGGACAGGAACATGCGCTAACCAAGACAACAGGAGCCAGAGCCGTGGCCTGGCACGCTGAGCCACCGCCTGCCGTGAGCACCCTGAAAGGCACCAGGAGTCCCGGCTGCTCCACTTCCCATCCAGTTCTCTGCGGCCTGGGCCCCTGCACCCACATGGGAGGCCCTGAAGCAGGGACTGACTGCAGCCGGGCCCATCCTTCGCCACTGCGGCCATTTGGGAGCAGAGCAGTAGACACAGAAGCCTAGTAGCTAAAAGTCCTCACTTTGCAACTTCTGGGATCACATATGGATGCTGAATCTAATCCCAGAGGCTCCGCTTCCCTTCCAGCTCCCTGCTTGTGTCCTGGGAAAGCAGTCGAGGACAGCCCAAAGCCTTGGGACCCTGCACCCGCCTGGGAGACCTGGAAGAGCTCCTGGCACCTGACTAGCTCAGCTCTGGCCATTGCTTGTACTTGTAGAGTAAATCATTGGACAGAATATATTTCCCCTTTGTCTCTCAACTTCTACATATTTGACTTTCCAATAAAAATAAATAAGTCTTCAAAAAAAAAAAAAAACAAAAGTCCAGGAAAAGCAAATAGTAGGCAGATCTGACTCCTGGGCAGTCGGCAAAGCAGAAAGTGTCACCTGGCCCTGGCTGACAACGGGAAACCGCGAGAAGTGGGACCCCAGGGCAACAGTGGAGCGCGGACCTTGACTCTGGACGGGAGAAGTGCTAGCAAGCCTGTGCGCCCCGCGCATGGCAAGGGCCAAGAGCCACAGAAATCACAGGGTGTCCGCTCCGCCCACCCAGAGACCCCAGGAGGACAGGGTGCCCGCTCCGCCCACCCAGAGACCCCAGGAGGACGGGGTGTCCGCTCCGCCCACCCAGAGACCCTAGGAGGACGGGGTGTCCGCTCCGCCCACCCAGAGACCCCCCTAGGAGGACGGGGTGTCCGCTCCGCCCACCCAGAGACCCCCCTAGGAGGACGGGGTGTCCGCTCCGCCCACCCAGAGACCCCGGAGGACGGGGTGTCCGCTCCGCCCACCCAGAGACCCCCAGGAGGACGGGGTATCCGCTCCGCCCACCCAGAGACCCCAGGAAGACGGGGTGTCCGCTCCGCCCACCCAGAGACCCCCCTAGGAGGACGGGGTGTCCGCTCCGCCCACACAGAGACCCCAGGACAGGGTGTCCGCTCCGCCAACCCAGAGATCCTGAGGATGGGACGTCCGCTCCGCCCACCCAGAGACCCCAGGAGGACGGGGTGTCCGCTCCGCCCACACAGAGACCCCAGGAGGACGGGGTGTCCGCTCCGCCCACACAGAGACCCCCGGAAGACAGGGTGCCCGCTCCGCCCACACAGAGACCCCGGAGGACGGGGTGCCCGCTCCGCCCACCCAGACACCCCCGGAAAAACGAGGTGCCCGCTCCGCCCACCCAGAGACCCCCGAGACCGCGGAGGACCGGGGCCCAGCCAGCAGAGCACAGTGGACAGGGACGGGGAGCTGGGGCTCGCCTCTCGGATGTCCTGCTCCGCAGCCAGGAAGCCCTGCAGCTCCACGAATATCTCGCTCACAGACATGGCGCCGGCCGCCCGTCCGTTAGCCAGGGCTGCGAGCGCGGCGGGAAGAGAAACTCCGCACAGCCACCGCCGCCGCCGCCGCGTCCACCGGCCCTAGGCGGCCGACGCGGGGTCCTGAGAAGCCCGCGGCGCGCCCGAGCGAGGGCTGCCCGACGCGCTGCCTGAGAGGCGCACGCGCCGAGGACGCGGAGCAGGCGGCGGGACGGGCGTCTCACGGAGCATTTGGACAGGCCTTGTCGCAAACAGCCCTCGAAGGGGGCTCCGGAAACACGTCAGCCCCGGGACAGCGGCGCGACTCCGGAGGAGGAGACAGGCAGGGGCGCTTCCGGGGCGGGACGGTTAGAGAGCGGGCGGCTCCGGGGGCGGGGCGCCGGGACGGTTAGAGGGCGGGGCGCCGGGGCTAGGGGCGGGGCCTGACCCTCAGGCTTTTTAGCTACACTAGGTGGGAGAAATAGAAGTATCTCCGCTTTCCTGAGACAGAACTCCGTCAGGAACCTTTTTTTTTTTTTTTTTTTTTTTTTTTTAGTTTATTTAGTTTTGTTGGAATGGCAGAGCTACAACAGATAAAGAGACATATTTCATCAACCAATACACTTTGCAAATGGCTGCAACGTCTTGGGATGAGCCAAAGCTGCTTCCAGCTCCCAGTCGAGGGGTTCAAGCACTTGGGCCATCCTCTCCTGCTTTCCCAGGTACATCAGTGGGGAGCTGGACGGGAAGTGCAGCAGCCGGGGCTCAAACCAGTGCCCATACTGGATGCCTGGTTCCTAGGTGGAAGGCTAACCTGGCACGGTACTGCTTCCAATGTTTCCTGTCTTAGGTGATTTCTACATAGTGAATACCTGGTATTTTTATTGCTAAACAGCAAGTTTTACCTTGGATCCAAAACAGCATTTTTTTGGCCTTTTCTTCTAAAACAACTTTGATTTTTTTTTCAGTTTTATTGCTGAAGAGCTTATGTTTCAAAAAGAAGCTCAGTAAAATTTTAATTCTTTTTTTAAAAGATTTTTTATTGGAAAGTTAGATCTACAGAGAGAAAGAGAAAAATATCTTCGGCTCGCTGCATCGCAATGGTCAGAGCTGAGCCAACCCGAAGCCAGGAGCCAGGAGCCAGGAACCAGGAGCCTCCTACGCGTCTCCCAAGCAGGTGCAGTCCTTGACCACTTTCCCAGGCCACAAGCAGGGAGCTGGACGGGAAGTGGAGAAGCCAGGACATGAACTAGTGCTCATACGGGCTCCTGGTGCTTACAGGGGAAGGATTAGTTAATACAGTCATTGCACAGGGCCCTAAAATAAATCATTTTTTTAAAAGTTTACTTTAAAACAAACCATCTCGCCCGGCGCGGTGGCGCAAGTGGTTAAAGGTATGTATACCGGCTCATGCTCTGGCTGCTTGTCTTCCAATTCAGCTCCCTGCTTCTGGCCTGGGAAAGCAGTAGAGTTCAGTTTGTTCACTTTTTGAGTGTAGTGTTCAGGTTGGGATGATGAAGCCATCGTAACCAACGATTTTTTCTTACCCAGTGTTATGCTAGGGTAATGAAGCTGAACAAACGCGTGACAACACAAATGTCCCACTCACAGGCCGAGGGCTCGGCCCGCTTAGCTCTGCTCCATCTCCTCCTGCCTGTGCACTCAAGGGCCCAGGGAGGGAGCAGAGGCCATACGCAATTCATTCCTGAAAAGACTGTAAACCCCTCCCATGCCACCCCAGACACCAACGGCAACCGGGGGCCAGGAACGGGTCAGGCCGTGGAGAGGAGCGCGCCAGGGCGGACAGCCAGGCCTGCGGCCCACACGAGCAGCCCAGGCCAGCAGCCTGCCCGAGGACGGAGGCCACGCCAGCAGCCTGCCGCCCGCACCTGGCAGAAGCCGGAACTGGCAGGCGGCGGAAGCCGAGCAGCCCGGAGCCGCGACCTTTGCCCCCCGTAGCCACGCCTCTTCCGCTGCAGGCGTTTCCGGGAGCGCCGCGTGCGTCTGCTGTGGCCATGGCCGTCTTCTCGGGCCCTGCGCCCCCGGTTCTCTCTCTGAACCCGCGGGAGGACGCCAAGTTTCAGAAAGAGGTGGCGCAGGTGCGCAAACGTGCTACCCAGGTGAGCCGCCTCTGCCGCTTCCTCCTCCAGGGTGCCCCGCGGGAAACAGGGTGCCGGGCGGGTGTGGGCTCGGGGTATCCGCGGTGAGAACGGGGTTCCGGGGCTGGTTGGGCTCGGGGTGTCCGCGGTGAGAACGGGGTGCCGGGCGGGTGTGGGCTCGGGGTGTCCCCGTCGGTGAGAACGGGGTGCCGGGCGGGTGTGGCCTTGGGGTCCTCCTCCAGGGGAGGCCCCCTGGAATGGAGCAGGGTGGGCCCAGCGTGGTTCTTGGAGGAGCCCGGGCGCTGGTGAGGATGAGAGCCCCAGTCACCCCCTGTTTGGGAAGCTGTGTGTGTATGCCCTGAGCTTTGGGCCTTCCTGCGGTTTAGCGTAGGAACCCCTGTGGGGAATACGGAGTGTGCACTCACTGGAGGGAGGGGGTGATGCCTGCCCGAGGGCCAGGAGCAGGTGCAGACCAACGGAGCGCTGCCTCCTGCAGACGGTGCCCCTTCCCTGGTGGCCAGGCTGTGAAGACCGGGTCCTTGATGGGACATTCGTAGTGGACTCTAGGACCTAGCTGGGGCCCTGGGTTTTGCTGGTGTTGTCACCATGTTGAAAAGCGTTTACTGGTTTTGGTGTCCTCAGCGAAAAAAGAAAGAACGGCTTACTCCAGGAGTCATCTATGTGGGCCACCTGCCTCCCACACTCTACGAGTCCCAGATTCAGGAGTATTTCTCCCAGTTTGGCACTGTTACGAAGTTCCGATTGTGCAGAAGCAAAAGGGTAAGATTGGTCTTTGTGTACTGCAGTCACTTGACCGGCCACACGGCGGGCACCTGTGTGCTGGAGCCAGTGAGTGTGGGAGGCCACGCAGCGGGCACCTGTGTGTGCTGCAGGCAGTGAGTGTGGGAGGCCGCACAGCAGGCACCTGTGTGTGCTGGAGCCAGTGAGTGTGGGAGGCCGGGCTGCGGGCACCTGTGCGCTGGAGCCAGTGAGTGTGGGAGGCCACGCAGCGGGCACCTGTGTGCTGGAGCCAGTGAGTGTGGGAGGCCACACGGCGGGCACCTGTGTGCTGGAGCCAGTGAGTGTGGGAGGCCACACGGCGGGCACCTGTGTGCTGGAGGCAGTGAGTGTGGGAGGCTGCGCGGTGGGCACCTGTGTGCTGCAGGCAGTGAGTGTGGGAGGCCACACGGCGGGCACCTGTGTGCTGCAGGCAGTGAGTGTGGGAGGCCACACGGCGGGCACCTGTGTGCTGCAGGCAGTGAGTGTGGGAGGCTGCGCGGTGGGCACCTGTGTGCTGGAGGCAGGGCCACGTACTTCCTTGTCCCACACTTGTAGACGTAGGTGTTTCATCCTTAGCTGCTTGCATCTGGAGACAGTTTCCCACATTTCTCCTGCCAGGAAAGAAAAAGCTGTATAAAACGGTGGTTGAACCTTGCTTTTCTTTCTTAATCCCACCTTTTTTTACTGACCCATTTAAGAAGGCATTCTCGTCCGTCAGCATCATGCTGCTGTCTCGTGGGAGTCATCTGACCCTGTCTGTCCTGCCTCCCTGGGGACCCAGTGACAGCCCATGTACAACAATCCCCTTGTCCTTTCCTGCCCTCGGACTGTGTGCTTGCTGTTCTCGGTGCTCCAGGGCTATGGGGAGAGACGGCTGCGTTGTTGGGGTCTCTCCGACAGAGGTGTCATTCCGCAGCAGTGGGGCGTTCGGTGTCTGCCCCTTCCCAAGGAGTGACTCTGAGTGGGTCTGCAGCCATTTCCGTTCTCACAGCACTGGGTGTTGCCAGGGACTGAACGGCTGGCCTGTGGAGGTTCCCGGGTTCAGCAGCGGCATGGCTGGGCTGGAGCCCGGCCTCCTGGCTGCCCTGGGCGTTGTCACTGCCTGCAGAGTCACACCACAGCTGATAGGTATCCATGTGTATGTGGGTGCTGAGGCTGCACTGGTAAGCAGGACACGTTGTGTCAAGTGTTGGTGGTGTCAGTCTCCAGAGCAAGTGGAGTGAGCGGGGCTGTTTTGTCATTCTGGCTTTAAGGCATGAAAAACGGAGCCCTCAAAGTGGCTTATCCAACTAACCATCAGATCCCGGATCCCGATCTGAGCACTTGGACCCGAGACACCATTCACTTGTTGCTGAGATGGATTTTAAGTTTTATATAATTATTTTTTGTTGGAAAGGCAAATTTACAGAAAGACCTTCCATCGCTGGTTCACTCCCCAGGTGCCCACAACAACCAGAGCTGAACCAATCCAAAGCCAGGAGCTCTTCCAGGTCTCCCACATGGGTGCAGGGTCCCAAGGCTTTGGGCCGTCCTTAACTACTTTGCCAGGACACGAACCAGTGGCCATAAAGGATCCCAGAGCATGCAAGGCAAGGACTTTAGCCACTAGGCTACTGAGATGGACTTTTTTTAGAGGTTTATTTATTTTACTGCAAAATCAGATATACAGAGAGGAAGATCTTCCATCCACTGATTCACTTCCCAAGTGACCGGAATGGCCGGAACTGAGCTGATCCAAAGCCAGGACCTTCTGGGTCTGCCACACACATGATACAGGGTCCCAAGGCATTGCGCCATCCTCAACTGCTTTCTCAGGCCATGAGCAGGAAGCTGGATGGGAAGTGGGGCTGCTGGGATTAAAACTGGTGCCCAATATAGGATCTCGCGCATACAAGGTGGGAACCTTAGCTGCTAGGCTACCGCGCCAGACCCCCAAGATGGATATATTTTTTTTTAAATCCAGTTTAGAGTTTTCCCTGGATGCTGGCTGTGAATGTGGCAGATGTGAAAAGGAGCCATTGTGGGCTGCTGTTTTGTCTGAGGGCTATCTTCCATCTGCTGCTTCACTCCCCAGATGACTAAAGCCAGCAGCTTTGGGACCCAGGCAGTGGGCCAGTGCTTGCAGGTGTGTGACTTCAGGAGGCTGTGACCGGAAGCAGAGCGCTGTGTGGAACCCAGCACACAGGCTGGGATAGAGGCGTTCTGGGCACTGCCTTCACCCTGCTGGGCAGTGCTTTGCACAGGCCTCGCAACCTGTCGTGTACAACAGCAGTCTGCATTGTTTGTGCAGCAGCGTGCTGGACACTGGCTGTAAGTGCATAGAATGGAACTAGAGGATGAGGGGTGAGCCTTGTGGCACAGAGGTCCAGCGTGCACTTGGCGTGCCGGTCAGCTGCTGTGAGGCACTCCGTGCGCCAGTGATCCTTGGAGTCCCAGTCCTGCTGATGCTTGGCGGAGTGGGTGACGATGGCCCAGGTGCTGGCCCCCAGCCACCGACGCAGGAGACCAGGTGCAGTTCCAGGTTCCTGGGCTCTGCCTCACCCAGCCCTGGAGGTCGAGGGCATCTGGGAGTGACTGGTGGATAAAAATCCCTTCCTCTTCATAACCATCCCTTTCTGTCACTCTGCAGTGAGGTAAGCCTTTTTTGAAATAATAAAAACACTGAGCCATGACAGATTTCCTCCATATGTAGATATTGCTTAATGATCAAGTGTGTAATATACCGAATGTAAACCAGATCCCAAGAATGACTGAGAAGCCAGCGCAGTTCAGACTGTCTTGAACAGACACCAGAATATATGAGAGAGCTTGCCAGAACATCTGACAGGGGGCTTGATTGCAGTATTTGGATGAACAACATTGAGGAACTTTCGGTGCTTAATTTCATTTTCTGGTGGGTTTCCCGTTGCAGACCGGAAACAGCAAAGGCTATGCATTCGTGGAGTTTGAGTCTGAGGACGTCGCCAAGATTGTGGCTGAGACGATGAACAACTACCTGTTTGGGGAAAGGCTGTTGGTGTGTAAGTACTCTGGGCTCAGGCGTACCTGTGGGTGCTGGTGTGTCAGTGCTCTGGACTCAGGTGTGCCTGCGGGTGCTGGTGTGTCAGTGCTCTGGGCTCAGGTGTGCCTGCGGGTGCTGGTGTGTCAGTGCTCTGGGCTCAGGCGTACCTGTGGGTGCTGGTGTGTCAGTGCTCTGGGCTCAGGCGTACCGGTGGGTGCTGGTGTGTCAGTCCTCTGGGCTCAGGCGTACCTGTGGGTGCTGGTGTGTCAGTACTCTGGGCTCAGGCCTGCGGGTGCTGGTGTGTCAGTGCTCTGGGCTCAGGTGTGCCTGTGGGTGCTGGTGTGTCAGTGCTCTGGGCTCAGGTGTGCCTGTGGGTGCTGGTGTGTCAGTGCTCTGGGCTCAGGCGTACCTGTGGGTGCTGGTGTGTCAGTGCTCTGGGCTCAGGCCTGCGGGTGCTGGTGTGTCAGTGCTCTGGGCTCAGGCGTACCTGTGGGTGCTGGTGTGTCAGTGCTCTGGGCTCAGGCCTGCGGGTGCTGGTGTGTCAGTGCTCTGGGCTCAGGCGTACCTGTGGGTGCTGGTGTGTCAGTGCTCTGGGCTCAGGCCTGCGGGTGCTGGTGTGTAAGTGCTCTGGGCTCAGGCCTGCGGGTGCTGGTGTGTCAGTCCTCTTGGCTCAGGTGTGCCTGTGGGTGCTGGTGTGTCAGTGCTCTGGGCTCAGGCGTGCAGGTGCTGGTGTGTCAGTGCTCTGGGCTCAGGTGTGCCTGCGGGTGCTGGTGTGTCAGTCCTCTGGGCTCAGGTGTGCCTGTGGGTGCTGGTGTGTAAGTACTCTGGCCTCAGGCGTGCAGGTGCTGGTGTGTAAGTACTCTGGGCTCAGGCGTGCAGGTGCTGGTGTGTCAGTGCTCTGGGCTCAGGCGTACCTGTGGGTGCTGGTGTGTCAGTGCTCTGGGCTCAGGCCTGCGGGTGCTGGTGTGTCAGTGCTCTGGGCTCAGGCGTACCTGTGGGTGCTGGTGTGTCAGTGCTCTGGGCTCAGGCGTACCTGAGGGTGCTGGTGTATAAGTACTCTGGACTCAGGCCTGCGGGTGCTGGTGTGTCAGTGCTCTGGGCTCAGGTGTGCCTGCGGGTGCTGGTGTGTCAGTCCTCTGGGCTCAGGCGTGCAGGTGCTGTTGTGTAAGTACTCTGGGCTCAGGCGTGCAGGTGCTGGTGTGTAAGTACTCTGGGCTCAGGTGTACCTGTGGGTGCTGGTGTGTCAGTGCTCTGGGCTCAGGCCTGCGGGTGCTGGTGGCTGAGCTTGGTGATGGCTTCCAGCTGCACGTGCGCCTGAGTGTTGCCAGTCCGTGCATGCGGGAGAAAGCATAGAATGGAGGAAGCGAGGAGAGCTGGGGGCCATTTCTGTCTCATCTCACTGCCCTGAGAGGAGCACTGGTTCTGGCCTCTTTGTGGCTCTGGGGAAAGTGGCTGTCCCAGGTCCACAGGCTCTGCGAGAACAGCAGATAGGACCACCTGAGTAGCGTCTCCTACCTCCCCACGGAGTCCGCCCCAGAGCCTGCTTGGGATTGTGAGCCTGGTGTCCCTGGAAAATGGACTGGGTGTGTGGCTCGCAGGGAGACGAGGGCTGTGGCTGGCTGGCAGCAAGCAGCAGGCCGAGCTCTGAGCACCAGATGACTTAGCAAGGAATTTAGTCTTTGATCACTCATTGATCAGTCCCATCTTGTTAATTATCATGTGAGAACTAATGCTGAAGAAACCCTAAATTACCTGTAATTCTTTCTCTATTGCTTTCTGATTTTTGCCTTTATAAAAACAGGTCAGTTTATGCCACCTGAAAAAGTACATCCAGAGCTCTTTACAAACTGGAATGTTCCATTTCGTACGCCGTCATTTCCAGCGGTGAAGCGGTACAACCAGAATCGGACACTCCTCCAAAAGCTGCGCATGGAGGAGCGATTCAAAAAGAAAGAAAGGCTACTTAGGAAGAAAATAGCTAAAAGAGGAATTGATTATGACTTCCCATCATTGGTAACTATTCCTTTACATTTTGTGTGACTCGTCTTGTGGTGGAGCTTTACCTCCGAGGCTGTAACATGGAGCACATCCATAACTGTAAAGTTTCTCTTTATTTTTTTGAAAAACAATTTTTATTGGAAAGTCAGATATAAAGAGAGGCAAGACAGAGAGGAGGATCTTCCATCCGATGATTCACTCCCCAAGTGGCTGTGCCAATCTGAAGCCAGGAGCCAACAGCCTGGAGCCTCTTCCGGGTCTTCCACACGGGTGCAGGGTCCCAACATTTTTGCCCATCCTTGACCACTTTCCCAGGCCACAAGCAGGAAGCTGGATGCAAAGTGAGGCTACTGGGATCAGAACCAGTGCCCATATGGGATCCTGGCATGTTCAGAGCAAGGACCTTAGCCACTAGACTACCGCGCCAGGCCCTATAAAGTTTCTAACCTAATATTTACACTAAATTTTTGTTACACATGTTTCTAAAAGGTATTTTAGTAGTATACAATGAACTGTTTACATGAATTATCTACCTGGCTTCCTGTTCTGGTCTTCTGTTGTTCTTGTTCAGATGTGTTCATTTGTTGGAAAGCCATGTTGACAGATGGACCTAATGTTTATTCCCCAGATGCCCACAGTAGCCAGGCAGGCCAGTCCCCCCGCCCCCCAGATGCCCACAGTAGCCAGGCAGGCCAGTCCCCCTGCCCCCCAAGATGCCCACAGTAGCCAGGCTAGCCCTGTCTCCCCCCACATGCCCACAGTAGCCAGGCCAGCTGTGCCTCCGGCTTGGGTGGGAGGAACCCAGACATTCTGGCCGTCATCTGCTGCCTCCCAGACTTACAGCAGAAAGCTGGCTGTGTTTTATATATATATATATAATTTTTTGAAAGGTATAGTTACAGAGAGCAAAGGAGACAGATCTACCCTCTGTTGGTTCGCTCCCCAGGTGGCCACAGCAGCCAGAGCTGAGCCAGTCCAGTTTGAAGTTTCTTCTAGATTTCCCAACTGGATGTGGAGGACCCGGGCTGTCTGGCACATTAGCAGGGGGCTGAATGTGTCAGAAGTAGCCAGTTAGCATCAGTTTTGTGAATTACATGAGCAGAGGTTAAAATGCAGCAACCCAGATTTATTGGAAAGGCAGGTGTGCAGAGAGACAGTAGAGACAGAAAGATCTGTCCACTGGTTTACTCCCCAAGTGGCCGCAACAGCCAGAGCTAAACCGATCTGAAACCAGGAGCTTCCTCTTGGTCTCCCACACGGGTGCAGAGTCCCATCCTCTACTGCAGACAGATGTCCATATAGGATCCTGGCTCGTGCAAGGCAACGATTTGGCCACTAGGCTATCGTGCTGAATCCTCATTTAGTTCAAAGTTTGGTGCTTCAGAGGAACAAAGAATAGGGGGCTTTGCTGAATCTTGTCTCGCCCTGTCCTAGGAGGAGACATGCTTGCCTTTGACCCGACTGCAGGTAGCTAGGATGTGGCCAGTGGAGGTGAGGGTCTTCTTTCATGAGCACGTCTCTTGAGATGGTTTCTTGTTTCCACGGCTCACCTTATTCCCACAAAGCCAAGTAGGGGACTCCTGACGCAGCTCTGTGCCTGGAACAGCAGGTACTGGGCTGCTGCCACCCATGCGGAGACCTGGCTCCGATCTTCAGCCTGGCCCAGCCCTGGCTGCCAGAGACAGTCGGGAATGAGCCAGTGGACGGAAAATCTCTCGCTCCTTCCTCCTCTGTCACTCTGCCTTGTAAGTCAGAGTAAGTTTTTGAAGTAGTGGACACGAGCGCATGCTGTCTGCTCCTTCCCATTGGCTCCTGGGCCACAGAGCTCTGTCTGCCCTGAGCAGTGTTGCTTACTCACTGGAGAAGCAGCTGGCTTCCTGGCCCCCACAGTGCACTGAGCAGGCAGGCTCCAGGACTCGCTCCGCCTGAAGCCGCTCCGGGGCTGGGCCGGGCTGAAGCTAGGAGCCTTCGACCTCTGCAGCTGCCGCCGGTCTCTTAGTCAGACCTGTCGTAGGGTTCTACCACTGTGGTCACTGAATTTAAATGGAATTGATCTGTCATTTGAGGGAAGTTCACTAATAATACAGCATAACTAATGTTCATAACATGTGCAACAAGCAGTGAGACTGCCTGTTGGTAATTCATGTGTTCATTGAAGATTTTACAGAAAGGGAAAAATGCTGCGAGCGCTGATCTGCAGAAGTCGGCGGAGAGCCAGGTAAATGTTGAGTTTTGTGCTATTGAGCCAGATAATGGCGAAAGAATCAGAAAATATGTGCAAGACTGCTGTGGCTGGTAATGTGCAGATTGCTAAACGTCTGAACGTTTATTTGAAGGCTTTGCCTAAGAAGAAAAAGAAGAAAACTGCCATGGCTAAAAGGAAGCAGGGAGAGCCTGGCGCCACCACCACCGCCGCGGAGAAGCCGCTGGACAGCCAGGTGACACGTGCGGGTGCTGGGCCCCGGGAGAGGGCTGGGCGCAGGAGCAGCTGCTGCCACTGTCCTGTGGCTGGGATTCCCCGTGTCATCTCGCAGTGTGCCTTAGCAGCGTCTCCAAAGGCCAGAGCGGGCCGGAAATCAAGGGAGACAATATCGCAAGGATTGTCCACACTTGGGAGTGACAGATTTCCTGCCTGTTGGTTTCAGGGGCCCACACCAGTTTGTACACCAACGTTTTTGGAGAGACGAAAATCTGAGGCAGCTGCCATGGAAGATGATGATAAGGATAATGAAATAGTTTTCAGACAGCCTGTACTGGATGTAAAAGAAGAAAAGCAAGAGACTCAAACCCCCGCACGTTCAGGGAAGAAGAGGCGAAGAAAAGGCGATCTGTGATTCTGAGTGTATTGTGTACAATACAGCTGCTGCTTTTGTGGCTCTGAGTTTGACTGGCACAGCGACACCAGCCATGGCCAGGAGACTGCAGAGGAGGGCGTGTCGTATCGCCTCCGGTCCGCCCTGGCTGACACAGGGCAGACAGGCAGGCGGCTGGTTCTCTCCCATGGCGCTCCTGCGTGACTGCCTGCGCAAAGGCGTCACCGGTCCCGATTCAAGCACCACACTGCAGCCCTCATGTCACCAACCTCTTCCTGATCATCCACATGGTTGGTTTGTCTTGAAAGGCATAGGTTCTCTGTCCACAAGTTCCCCCCAAGTGCCTTAGTAGCCAGAGCTAGGGGCAGGGAACTGGGTGAGGGTCTTCATGTGAGCGGCAGGCCCCAAGTGCAGGAGACGCCACTTGCTGTGTCCTAGGCTTTGCATTCACAGCAGTCACAGCACAAGCAGAGCTAGGGCTTGCCCAGGCCATCGAGCAAGACGTGGATGTCCAGTGTCCAGGACTGTAAAAGTGACTCAGAATACTACATACGGGCTCAGTGCGATGGCCTAGTGGGTGAATCCTCACTTTGTGTGTGCCGGGATCCCATATGGGTGCTGGTTTAAGTGCCAGCTGCTGTACTTCCGTCCAGCACAGCCCAAAGTGTTGGGACCCTATACCTGCATGGTAAACCCAGAAGAAGCTCCTAGTTTTGCATCAGCTCAGACCTGGCTGTTACAGCTCCTTGGGGAGTAAACCAGTGGATGAAAGATTCTTCTGTCTGCTCTCTGTAAATGTGCCTTTCCAATGAATAGCTCTTTTGAATAGTTCTGGCATGAAGTTCATGCTGCTTGGTTGTCTCTATTGAGTCATCTGGCCTTTAGTTTTTAATGTTCACACACTTGAAAGGCAGTGTGAGCGTCCATCCGCTCATTCACTCCCCAGGTGCCTGGAAGAGGGCTGGCAAGGCTGCCGCCATTGGCTGGCACTTGATGGAGATTGCCTGTCTGAGTGGCAGGGACCACTGGGAGGTGCTGGCGGGCTCAGCAGACTGGGCGCCTCGCAGCACTGGCATTCCGTGTGGGCACTGAGTTGGGAAAGCAGCAGAGGATGGCTCAGCTGTTTGGGTCCCTGCACCCATGTGGGAAACCCAGAAGTGGCTCCTGCCTTCAGGGCGGCTGAGCTCTGGCTGACACAGCCACCTGGGGAATGAACCAACAGGTGGAAGGTCTTTCTCTTAGCCTCCTCTTGAAATCTGCTCATCAGATAAAAAATAAGATCTTTTATAAATAGCGTGGTAGCTATTTATAAAATAGCTGGTAGCTGGTCCTCCACGCAGCACTCGATACACGAGTCGGCCTTGCGAATGGCGTCTTACTCTGCACCAGCACTCCCCTTGTAGATGTCCTTAACCACGATCGCTCCGGGGACGTATCAAGATGCTCCACACAGACGTATGTCTGCCAGGGCGGTAGTTCTTCCCAGCACATTTCACGCCTATGGTAACACCATAGGCGTGCCATCTGCAGGCACGACAAATCAGGAGTGTCATGGGGAGCCTTGGGCAGGGGCATGCCACAAGCCATGCTCATGTGATACTGGACTCCCTGGACCAGGTCAGGATGTGGCAAAGGGGACAGTGGTGAGGTTTTCAGGTTTCCTAGGAGAAAGGTGAAGTGTTGAAGTCCCTTCAGTGAAAGAACTGTGTGAAAGGCTTGCAGTTATGTGGGGCAACTAAGGTGACCAGTGCTATGGCAGAGTGTACACAAAGAGCCCAGTACTGGGCCCAGCACGGTAGCCTAGCAGCTAAAGTTTTCACCTTGCACACACCAGGATCCCACATGGGCACAGGCTCATGTCCCACTTCTCTTCCAGCTCCCTGCTTGTGGACTGGGAAAGCAGTCAAGGATGGCCCAAAGCATTGGGAGCCTGCACCTGCGTGGGAGACCTGGAGGAGGTTCTGGGATCCCGGCTTCAGATCAGCACAGCTCTGGCTGATGCAGCCACTGGGGAAGTGAACCAGTGGGTGCAAGATCTCTGTATATGTCTTCCCCCCCCCCCCGCCAAAAAAAAAAATCGTTAAAAAAGACTTCTGAGTCCAGAACCAACATTAAACATTTCTGAATGAGAACCTGCCTTCGTCTGCAACGCCAAGTGGCTTCGGAGCCTGCCTTTCCTGAAAGCTTGCCAATTACCGATGAATTTACTTAATTGAAGGAAGACTACCTTCCAAACGAATAAGAAAAACAATGACAGAGGCAGAGAAACTTTCTGCTGGCTCATTCCTCAGACAGCTGCAAGAGGCCAGGCCAGGCTGAAGGCAGGACCACCTCCTGCGTGCCAGGATCCCAAACACTGGATCAGCTGGTGCTGTTTCAGCATGTCTGTCCCCAGTTAATGTCTCGGCAAGGTACTGGGTATGTGACAATGATGTAGCATCGATTGAATGTTTGCATGTGAGGGATTTGAAAGGCAGCGTTACTGACAAAGAGGGAGAGACAGATTTTCCAGCCAGTGGTTCACTCCCAGATGGCCAGTTATTGAGGCTGCTCAGGCCGAAGCCAAGCGCCTCATCCGGGTCTCCCTTGTGGATATGGGGCCATCTTCCACTGCTTTCCCCAGGCCAGCAGCAGGGAGCTGGATCAGAAGTGGAGTAGCCGGGATGTGAACTTGTAACCGTGTGGGATGCCAGGATGACAGACGACAGCTTTACCTCTGCCATAGCACGAGCCCCAGCACGTAACACTTAAAAGATGAGGAAATGGAAGACAGGAGAGCTTAGGACATCGTCTGCAGGTTTGTATGCACAGGGAGCTGGCTGGACTGACTGATGCTCCTAGAGATGGCTGTGGATACAAGACGTAGGGTTATGCTAGACAATAGGAAGGAAGAAGCCTCATGGGAAGACGGGAGTGGAGGCAGAAAGGGCACCAGGGCAGAGCAAGTGACAGCGGACCAACGCTAGGGGGCGATCTCAAACACGCAAGGCTACAAACTGGCAGTGCCGAAATGATGCAAGGGATTTGGATGCAAACGTGACCATGTTTTTAGGAGACGTACCTTGGGAGGGGGGCATGTGGCACAGCAGTTAACCCGCCACTGGGACACCCACCGGGTACCGGCTTCCCTGCTTCTGTCCCAACCTGCTAGCACAACTTGAGAAGCAGCAAGTGATGGGCTTGCATACTTGGATCCCTGCCGCCCATATGGGACAACAGAATCCTGGCCCCTTGGGGTGCGTGATGTGGGTCTCAGTTCCTGGGCACACTTGTAGCCGCCCATATGGGACCCCGGGATCCTGGCCCCTTGGGGTACGTGACGTAGGTTCCAGTGCCACACTTGTAGCCTCATCCTTTACCACTGTGTACCCAGGAGGCTGCACACGCCGGTTTGGTCCCTAGCATCCGCGAAATAGACTGGTTGGAGTTCTGGGCTCTGGGCTTTGGCGTGGCCCAGGCCTGGAACAAGGGAAATGTTTCACAAAAATCAAAATTTTTAAATTTTATATCCCTTAGAACCATAATTTTACACACCCGCTAGTGTACAGCATACCAAGTTCTAGATGGCAAGAGGGTGAGAACTACCACCGCCAAATGACTCGGACAATTGTTGCTTAATAAGCACAGTATGCTACCAGATAATTGAAAATTGATGCAATATTGGAAACCAGAAACAGTTTACTTTATCATATTGTAGATAGATATGAGTAAATGTAGCTTAGGTTGATTGTAAACTTATGAGCAAGTAATTTTATGATTTAGTGTTCCCAAGTGTTTGCTAGGATGAAAGCTCTCTTTGAAAACACACTGTCAGGGGCCCAGCGTGGTAGCGCAAGTGGTTAAGGTCCTCACCTTGCACGCCCGGGATCCCATATGGGCGCCGGTTCTATCCCGGCAGCCCCGCTTCCCTTCCAGCTCCCTGCCTGTGACCCGGGAAGGCAGTCAAGGACGGCCCAAAGCTTTGGGACCCTGCACCCGCGTGGGAGACCTGGAAGAGGCTCCTGGCTTCTGTCCGCAGATCAGCTCAGCTCCGGCATTGAGGCCACTTGGGGAGTGAACGAGCAGATAGTAGATGCCCTCTCTCTGCCTCCTTCTCTCTGTAAATCTGCTTTCCAATGAAAATGTTTTTTTTTTTTAACTCATAAAAAAGATCTTTGCTCTACTGTCAGAATTACTCCAAGCACAATCTTTAACCCAAAGGATCCAGAGAGCTTCCTATTTTTCACTCACTATGCTAACTTTGGCTTTACTTCTTATTTGAGGTTTTATTTATTGATATCTGAAAGGCAGAATGACGGAGAGAGATGAAAGCTCTTCCGTTAGCTGGTTCAGTCCCCAGACCGAGCCAGGCCAGAGCCGGAGCCAAGAGTTGCACATTCTGCTGTCCTCTACTGCTTCCCTTGATAGGAAGCAGAGCAGCCAGGGCCCCTCACCCCCAGCCCTGCACACAGGGCCCCTCACCCCAGAGCCCTGCACCCGGGCCCCTCACCCCAGCCCTGCGCCGAGGGCCCCTCACCCCCAGCCCTGCACCCGGGGTCCCTCACCCCCGGCCCTGCACCCAGGGCCCCTCACCCCCGAGCCCTGCACCCAGGGCCCCGGCTCAGCCCTGCACACCGGGGGCCCCTCACCCCCTGGGTTGGTTTCTTGTTTGTGAAGCCTAACGGTGAGCAGGACATGAATGCTGCACTTAGAATTGGGACATCTTCAATTAGCAAATCACTGCATTTCTGAATTGGGCTTTGCTTTCTATCTAAGTAATCTACTTCTGGCCTTTGTCCTCTCAAACAAAGGCATAGGACTGGTCCGGAAGCTCGGGTTGGCCTTAGGTTACGGTGCCTGGCCCTTTGAGCCAGTTAGAGAAGGTTCCACATACCTACTACAGCCTTCTGTCCTAGTACCCAGTCTGCTTCAGAATGAAGTTGCTTGCCAGGAGTCTTTGCTTCCATTTGTGCTAACAAAGAAGGAAACGAATTTGCAGTGTTATCGTGGACCTTTTTTCTCAGAATCTCCCCTGCTATAAATAAACGCTGTCCACCCAGCCGTGCCCGGGAAAAGCAAGCCGGACACTTGATACCTGCTAGCATGCTTCCGCAGCAGATGTGCCCTGTGCAACGCAGTGGTCCCAGTGGGAGTTCCTGGTGCTCCTGGGGGGCAGCCTGGCCTCTGGCTCTTCAGGTGGGCTTCGGCCACCACACCAGTCACCAGGAGTTTGCCTTTCTGAAGGGGCTTGCTGGTTCTCTCCCGTTTCTGATTTGACTGACAACTGGACGACACCTGGTGGGTTGCTGTCCTGGTTGGGGTCTGCCTTAATCACTGCAGATGGAGGCCTTGTTTTTGTGGATTTTTAAAATCAATTTTAGATTTTTATTTGAAAGGCAGATTGACAGAGAAAAGGAGAGACTGAGAGGGGATCTGCTTTCTGCTGGTTCACTCCTATGATGAGCTGAGGTGAAGCCAGGAGCCAGGAACTTCCTCCAGGTCTCCCACGTGGGTGCGGTCCCAAGGCTTTGGGCCATTCTCGACTGCTTTCCCAGGCCACAGCAAGGAGCTAGGTGGGAAGTGGAAAAACCAGGACACAAATGGGCTCACATACGGAATCCTGGCGCTTGCAAGGCAACGGCTTTAGCCACTTGGCTAATGCACTGGGCCCTCTTTCTTTCCTACAGTTTACTACCTAAGCAGATAACACATGCACATGGTACAAAAACTCAGCCATCTCCAAAAGGTATTGGGTAAATGCTGTGGTTTGGATATTTTTCCCAGAACTGAGGAGTGAAGTTAAATCCCCAACTTCTTATGTTTAAGGTGCCAAAGGTGGCAATGTAATCCAATGATGGCAGTTGCAGATAGAGCCTTTGGAAGTATCTCGGCTCCTGCATCCCACGCAGGGGACCACAACTGAGTCTTACCTGTCCAGCTTTCACTGTACCCAGCCCTGGCTGTTGAGGCATTTGGGGAGGAAATCAGAAGATGAAACCTCTGTGTCTCTGCATTTCAAGTAAGTAAAGAAAAGGAATAAAAATGAGAAGCCCAAGGTTTCAGGTGTGAGAGCTCCAAAGTGTAGCTCGAATGGAGCGGACTTCTCTGGATCTGAAGTTCAGACAGTTCTGAGGCAGACATCACATCAGGGTGTGGCCAGGAGCGCTGTGAGGCTTGGAAGAGGAGCCAAGAGCAGGAAGCAGCCGGACACGTGGCGGAATTGGTGAGCAAGAGAAAGCCAGGGCAGTCGGCTCGAGTGAGCGTGGCGAAGGGCAAGGTCGGCGTGGTCCCAGCTGGGAAGCAGATGAAGCAAAACAGTGTCTAGGAAAGGACCGTTGAACTTGGCCACGGGCAGTGACTGCAACAAGACGTCGGTTTGTCCAGCCCTTGGCAGGTTTACTTTTCGGTTTATATGAGTGTCCTATTTCAAATTAAGCAATTAGATAATGAAAGGAGCAGAAATGAAGCTGAAACAATGCTCTCAGAGGGGTAAGTGGCACCTCCAGCTGTTCTCAGCATCTGCCTTCAGGAGCTAGGAGTCTGTG